GGTTAGTAGCCCGATTCTTTACGCGGAGGTTTCTCTGCACTGGCATACAATTCATTTATCCTTTGACTCTCCGTCCATTGGCTAACTCAATGCCCTCCTCGGCATCTTCGGCATTCATCAGACTAAATTTTGTTAATTGCCACCTTTGAACGTTTGTGGCGACACTCTTCGGTAGCATGCTAACACTTGCCATGCACATCACAATGTTTATCATCTTTGCTCTGAGTTTTGGCGTCACCCTGATCTCGATTGCGATACTTCAGGAAATAGCAGCGATCTGTGCCATGACTGTTGTTCCCCTTGTGTTTTTCGCACCTATACTTTTGCTCAGATTCATCCGTTGTTGTAATGTTGCTGATGCTCTCGGTTGCCGATCCGCGTTTGTTGGCCAACTTAGCATATCGAGTGCACCATGTTTGAATTTTACTCGTAAGATCGGACATATCATTTGGAACAGAAAGAGAGTTATGCCTTACCATTTCCAAGGGTAGCCGTATATCGATACTGAATGTTAGTTTCTGTGCCCAAAACCATCCTGCAGTCTTCATCGCTGGTAAACGAGGTTGTAGCCATTTAGAAAAGGGGACTCCCAATTCATAATTAGCTGTTTCATTCAATTTGAGATCATGCTCCGCTCTGCTACTTGGTGATTTGAAACATTAGGGCGGCTTGCACCAATAGTACAAGAACTGGAACTATGTTGTTCCCATGTTCTCGGATGACCAATTCCATGACTCCTCCCTTCGCCTCTACCCAGTTCCAAAGCTCCGTTCTACGTTCTCCTTCCTCGTTTATATGTTCGAGAATGGCTTCAGTGCTCGCTAAGGCTATGTTGTGCCTGGGTATTGGAAAGAACTGGGCAAGTTGCTTGACCTGCCTGCTCAACCATTTTCCGATGTCCCAAGCAGAGTCAGGTAGATTTGGTGTCTTCTGCCTACACATCGCTGCTTCTAAATCAGAAGTTTTCGGCATCTTGAGTTTACCGATACTAGCACTAGTTTTGTCGATGAGTCTCTCATAAGTTTTATGATCTGGCATAAATTATATCATAGTACGCCAAGCCCACTGGCGTTTACCATTAGGTACGTATATGAACACTCGCTCAAAATCGAAAATTTCTTCACCATGTTCGGAGTGGCCCGACGCTTCCGGTAAAGAGCGTGTCTCAGATCAGTAGAGCTTCATGGGCTCAGACTCAGCTTATATAGAGGAAAATCATCCTCACTAAGTACGTAGTGTGTAAGCGCCATATTATCGGTATGTTGTTTCTGAAGAAATTTGTTTGCATGTCGCGTCCTTGATCCAATCTGCCTTTGCCGCATTATAACTCGCACGCTATATAGACATTCACAATTACATGAAATCGCGCCACCTCTCAGAGATCATATCTCCTTACTGCATTTAGAGGGGTTCTTCGGCCAGGGAGTTACACCCTTAACGCGACCAAACCAAGGTGACCATCAAGGTAGGGAACCTTATGAATGCTTTAAGAACAAAAGACAGACATTAAACTGATGTGCATTATTCTCCTTTGCGTATCTTAACTTGTACCAATGTGTTTAGAGACAGAATTTAAACACGCTTACACAAACAGTAAGACATTGGTGATGTAAAATCAGATTGGCAATGAAATAGTAAAACATAGTGTAATGTAAAAACTGATTGGCTACACGCCTGCCAATAATATGCCTTGCGGAAAATGTGTGAATTCCTCTTGTAATCCAACAGGTATTCCATCATTAAGGCATACGTGTACCTGTTGATTGTTTCATAATTATTTGAACTGTTTGATAGTGACAGGCAAAGAGAGCCTGTGACTCGGATCCTGGTAACAAAAATAATGATCGATTTATGTTGGGTCATGTACCACTCGTAGGGTTGCCAAAATCTACTATAAATAACACATCATTGTATTGAATCTTACTCAAAGCATTAGAAAAAACAAAAAACTAACCTCTCAAATGGATTTCAGCAATTCTGCTTACTCATTTGCAGAGATCATTTCATTCGCCTCAAAAACAATCCGTTATAAATTAACTTGGGCGTTTGGGCCTTCGACTACTGGTCAAGGGTTCACCGGTCCGATACCACGTGCTTGTTGTTTGCGCTCGCCTCAGTTTCCCTTTTTTCCTCGTGGTTGTAAGTTAACTCTACACAGTGACAGCGCACCTCTACGAAACCTGCCTATCCAAAAAGTACAGAAAGAGTCTCGCTAATCAACGAATTCTTAGTAAACTAGGTGGGTAGATGTCACACATCAGTGGACGCTGAGCTATGTCAAGAGTAGCAGATATGCACCGGGCTACTAAATGGCAAGAACATGAAGAGAAGCCGAAACACATACAATGAGTATAGGATTCAGTTCATTGTCTCATTTATTAAGTGTTTTTTCTTCTTTTTTCTTCCTTAGATATGTATAGTTAAAATATGATCCTGCAGGTTCGTAATCAAGTGGGCACAGATTAGACAGTTTTTGTTTGGCGACTAAGCATGCCACCGATCGCACAGGAATCGGATACACACAGATAATTTCGTTCATCCATATACATATGAATTTTGTATTGAGTCACAACACGAGGAGTTTGATACCGCAATTATATTCATTTGGGCGGAACTTGAACGAAATACTATATCAAATTTTCACATTCATTTGGTTGCCCACATATGGGGGCGAATGAATATTTTGCACTCGCAACGAATGTTCCCAAACCTACTCGATTTGGGCTGGCGATTTTTTGGGACCATGCGGCTACATTTAGGTAGCACCACGGGTTCAAATTTATTAACCGCTAGTGCAGTAAGCAGCACATTCACTGGTCTATTAGGATGTAATCCGATGATATACTATAGCCGAGGTGTATACAATCTCAGTCTGGTTTGCTAGTAGGAGCCCCGCCCGTGCTTGGTGCATCTCCAAGCCTCTCGATGCGGAACCAAAACACTACTATAGTAGTGGCCGAGAGAACAGCTACGGCGCCCGGGTGATAGATGATACCAGCACGAAGGTGGCCAGAGAAGACGATTTCCGCACAATAAACGCTCCAGAACTGATGGGTCATCGGCCGGGATGGCAAGGGGGTTTGCGGGATACCAGACAAAAGGACTTTGGAACCCACAGCGAAGTGCGCATGGCCGTAGTTCTTGACACTTGCAATATGGCTATTGTGCCATGTTGGCATGACAATTTGGCAATGATATCCGGATGGAAAGCTATCGTGAAAGTTAGCCTATCATCGCTAGCCAGTACATATGAATGTGGCCCGCTCAGCGCCTCAATATTCACTCCAATAGGCTAGAATCATCTTAGTATACGGTGCTTAGTATATGTCCGCATGAGGGTATGCGCATGTGTATCTGTATGTATTTACGTATGTACGTATGTGCATGTAAGTGTATGTGTATTAGAATGTGTGTGTGTATGCGTATGTGTGTATGTGTGTGTCTGTATATAGGTTCAGGAGATCGAAACCAAGTGCGAAAGAACGACAGCGCTCATCTTCAGCCAAGCATCTTAGCAAAGACGGCACGATCCTTCTGCTCCTGAAGTTTGATCTGCTTCTTGCAATCGGCCAGTTTACGCTTTATAGCAGTGTCTGTGGGTTGCAACAGGAGGGCATTCTGTTGCAACAAGGTGTAAAAATTAGTATAAATTTACACGATTTATATCCAAGAAGTATACAACTTGCCCCAGAAATATGAACCCCCACATGATACATATACTAAATGATAAGTATGAATACGTTTTATTAGAAGTAAGCACAAGTGGCAATACATGCACTCTATCCCATACAGATACACAGCAGAGCTACAACTTCCCAGATGAAGAAATAGAGATTGACACATTGTTATGTATACATATACGCACATTGTAGTTATAGAGTATTGACATCAAATAATACAGACGTCACATCGACATTAAATGCACACCTTGAGATCGTATTCTGCACGCTTGCACTCGCCCTGCTCCATAAGCGCACTCGCTCGGCGGAAGAGCGCCTTTACATCCGTATCATCAATACTAAGAATACTTGTGCACGTCGCGATGGCTTCATGGAATCTACATGCACACAGGGAGTGAGGGCGATATGGTATGAGACGTCGGATGTGTGGGGATAGGAGACGACAAAACCAAATGTATGTGTATTCAAGTGATACGGTAGGTGGATGTGGACCGGATGTTCTTGCCTTAATAGTATAAATTTATATTAACACACACACACACACACACA